CTCAATTACAAAGTTACAATATTTTTACTAGTTAGAATTGGAATTAAATTTTGGAAAAAAAATTATGAATAAGCTTTAGCATAATATGTTCTATTTAAATGTTTATATGCTATTATTTTGTTAATTGTTGAAAATGATATGTAAGAATTATTTGGTTAAATCTTATCTTGAATTGAAGATAAAAATACATACGTTTTATTTTAAAAATTTAAAACACAAACACAAATCTAACAATTATTGATTTAAATTTTTACCTGAGAATTTCTGGGTGATACTTCTTTCTAGATGATTTTTCTGGATAACACTTTCTCCTTTACAGACGAGGTGTACTTCTTTTCCGCCATGCTTCCCGTTTAAAAATCGATTGTTAGAAATATCGACATATTCGAGAATCGTAGGATGTATATTACGTATTTCACCGTTGGCGCTGCAATCGCACGAAATGCTAACTTGACATAAAAAATAAAAAGCTCTGGTCTAAATCAAATACATAAAATTCCTGAAAAATTCTTAGAAAAGAACAAAAATATTCATATACTAGATGAAAAATTGACAATGCGTAAAATTGAGAAATGGAAAATTTTATTATATTATGCAGTAGAATCATTATTTTAACCATTAAATACATATATGCTTAATAAATTATTCTTCAATTTAGTATTAACATTGTTAAGAAAGAATTACGCAGCATATAAAATTAAAGAATCAATAAATGAACAGAAAATGTTACAACAGAAGTAAAAACATATTATATATAATAATAAAAAATTAGTCATATTACAAAGTCACAATATTTGTACAGGTTAGAATTGAAATTAAATTTTGATATAAAATTATAAATAACTTTTAACACAATATGTTCTATTTAAATATTTATATGCTATTATTTTGTTAATTATTGAAAATTATGCATAATAATTATTTGGATAAATAAATAAATCTTACCTTGAGTTGAAGCCAAAAATGCACATTTTATTTAAAAAATTCAAAACACAAACACAAAAACAACTATTGATTTAAATTTTCACCTAAGATCTTCTGAATGATACTTCTTTCTGAACGATATTTCTGGATAACACTTCTTTCTTTACAGATGAATTGTGCTTTCCGTCATTAAAGATCTGCTCTCCCGCTTAAAAATCGAGAAATATCGATTATGTTCGAGAATCGTAAAAAGTGTATTGCGTATTTTACCATGTAGTGGCGCTGTAATCTTCAACATCGAGATATCGTCTATGCTTCAACTAATTTAAACCCAATGCTCTCCCGCGCGCATTTTAAAAAATTAAATCAAATACACAATTTACATGAGAAATTCTTAAAAAAGAATGAAAATATTCACACACTTGATGAAAAATATTTTAAACTATTATAAATTCCGTAAAAAAAAATTAAAGATTTTTATTTTAAGAGTGATTTTATTTTAAAGTCTCCACTTTAGCAATCCTGAGTTTGTTTCGTTCAAAGATATTTATTTTTACATCGTGCAGCAAATGTAAAACTAAGAATACTTTTCTTCTCGAAAATTGTAAAAATTCAAACATCTCGCCAAAAAATTTTTGCATCACTGAACAATTTTTTTTCACGATCATATCAATTTCAATGATCTTGAAAATTGAAATCTTCCCTTTACAGTGAGCCATTATATCTAATTCATATTTAATTATATTGTTAAAAAATATATTTCAATCAATTTTTTCTAATACCTTTAAATAGATGTAAATAATCAAATATCTAATCAATTTTTTATCCCAATTTCCATCAATCGCCATTTTAAATCATTATGTTCCTTCATTGATGAAGTATCACCACGTTCAATTCAATAAATAACTGTTGAAGTAGATATAACAAAACTGACCATATTTTTTGATTTTAATTCTCATCACTATGTGTATGCAACACACTCTGCTGTGTTGTCCAAATCGATATGACAGAATGTAACAAAGTCGATATGGGAGTCCTAGGATCCCGAAATCGTAACAGGACAAAAAATACATTGTATGTGAGATATACGACGATCACAGACGAGATATATGAACGAGGTATACCTCATCTACGGCGAGATTTATTCGTATACCTCGGCTTTAGCTAGAAAGGAGTATATAGCGCCATCTCCCATCGGTGTGATATATAAGTATTGATATAAGTACTGACTGAAAAAACATCCTTGGATAACTCACACATTAAAAAATATGAAAAAACATTATCATGAAAAATTATAATTATATTTAATTCTTTACATAATATATATGTAGGTGATCTTAGTGTCTATGGTTTTAAAGGAATAATTGGCCAATACTGAGGCTTTGCTTTATCTCTGTGTCTGTCAACAGTAGTTTGAAGAGCAGTTTCCATTGCTAATATCGTAGGGCTAGCTTCGCCATATAATAATTTTGCATTACTATTTCTTGCATGCATCCATGTAGCTCCACCCTGGATACTTATATTTTCCTCTTCCTCCTCTCTTTTCTTAGTAAGTATTTCTGAGTCTCTTAACTTTTTCAATTCAAATTTATGTCTCATACTTTGTTCTAGAAAACTCATCATTTCTTCATCTACATGAAATTCCAAATTTTCTGTTTCTTCGTTAAATCTACTTTCTTCACATTCTTCTACTACATCCTGATGTTTATATCCACTTTTTCTTCTTTTATGCGAAGCATACTGCTGATTACTTTGACATACCAAAGCTTTCAATTTATCTCTCAATATTTGATTTTCATGTTCCAAAGCAATACACCGAGTTCTCCACCAAATTATGCTATGTCTAAAATTAATTTATTAACTTTAGAATATAATTTATTAACTAATCAATAAAACTAAATAATATAATTTAAATAACTAAATAATATAATTTACTAACGAATCATTTATTAATATATTTTTTCATTCGCACTTTTAAACATATACAATAGAAATTTAGCAATTTTTGTTATTAGGTATAATTAATAAAAATATCACCAACCTTTTTTGCCATTCTTGAGCAGCTATATAATTTTCCCAAAAAGAATTAGCTTGCATCGTATTGACAATTAACTTTTCTCTAGCAATAAAACTTTTATTACGTTCTGAAATAAATCCTCGACGTTTTGCAAACTTAACCTCAAATTTTATTCGTTCACGACGTTGCTTTTTCAAATTTCTCCTCTTTCTCCGATTTTTTGCACGCTTTATACAAATAAATTCCATATCTTATAACTGTTTTGTTGAATGAGGAAAGAGATTATGATACTAAAAGCATCATTATTAACAAATTTATACAAAACCACGGAAACTATGATCGACAAGACATCCAACATATAACCTCTTAAACATAAACACAAATTAGATCTTGCATTTGTTATAATACAACCATTACAATCGATAAGTGATATCAAAAATGTTTGATATGAATTATTACATGTATATAAAATAATCAATAACAAACAGATATTATACAATTTTATATATTCATTTACTTATAATAACTATATATTTACTTACTAATCACAACTGATCATGACAGTATATTTTTAATTTTCAATTTTTTCAGGTACATATCATATGATAATCTGTATAAAAATTATAAACTAGATTTATATTTGTAATCCATTAGATTTCAAAATTTGGCAATTTTCTTTTCAAATATTGGCAATTGTAAAAAAATTATGAAATCAAAGATTAAACAGGCGTTTTTTATTAGAAATATACAGTATAGTTGCAAGATTTTATACAGATTTGAAAAAGACGTATTGAGAACTTAAATGAAGATAACATAAGCATTAACATCAGTTAATAGTCAAAATACATTGTAAATCATTTCTGTTCACGGGTTCAGATTTATGTGCATCAAAAGTAACATTTAGATACAAAATACGTACTTGTATGAAACTATCCCTTATTTATTAGGTAAATAATCTCTTCGTACTTACAGTGAATTTTATAAATATCTCAAAATTCAACGCTACTAACAATTATTTTCACTATAACTTTGTAAATTCACAGCAGAATTCCAACTTTGATAATTAAAATATGGATCGTAGTATCACATTTCAATCGAAATGATTCGTTTGATAAAGAAAATACGAAATCATTTGCGCAAGATAAAGTTCGTTGACCGCCCGCGAGGCATCGCAGCATTGGTTGTAACAAACAATGCATATATGTTCATTTCGAAGAGTGTGACTACAAATATTTTTTAAAAGTAATAAATATTAAAAAATTGACTGTGTGATGAACAATGTTCATATTGATGCAAAATTCTTCAGATTATTATGAACGATCCTGTTCTCACAAATATGATGAATTCACTTAAATCGTTTTACGTCAAATGTAACTGTGTCAAATCCTAGAATGCTTTCTGTACTACTATTTTTTTCTGCATTGGTATCATTTTCATCAGCTTCGACATTATGATCAGAACCTTCTATATCGTTTTCTATATCAATAATTGGTAACACATTATTTTGAACCTCAAGTCCAATTATTACTCGAACATTATCAGGCAATTGGTCCTCAGCCGAAATTAGTTGACAATAAATACCTTCTGCTTTAGATAATGTCGAAGACAAATCAATATGATTTGAAAGGTCATTTATGTGCTGCAAACCACATTATATATTAATTAAGGAACAAATATTTCTTAACTATACATACAGTTTTCGCTTTACCTTCAATATTTCTGTAAGTCCATATTGATTTTCCATAAGAACATTTCTTTCTGTATTCAAAATAGCTGCACATATGAGGAGATGAAAATTTTTACATGGTAGATCAGTCCACAATACTTCCCATAATTTCATTATATCAACTGCACTAAATTCTCTTTTAAATAGTACCAAAAGCCAACGGAAGCAGAAAAACATATTTCCTGAATCATGGTTATTCAAGTAATATGCTAATTGTGGATCTGTAGTATTCAAAAGAGTATATAATTGGCACAATTGAGTTTTCATCCCAGCTTGGTCTACTTCAAAATTGGGACTCTATTTCGTATATGACAAAATATGTTTGATTAAAATTTTATATAGATTGTTGTAATTTAAGATTTATTATATAAACATACCACTTTCTCCATATAACCAACAAAACACCAAAACGCATCAACTTCGCTTTCCATTAAACATAAAATGGGACTTAAAAGATCACTCATACCTTGCACATATCCCAAATCAAAATTATACATTACATAGGTCATTAAAATATCAGATAATTGTGCTAAATGAGGATTGTTATCACCCGAGTAATACGGATGTGTTCTATCTGTTCTATTCACGTCCTTTTCTAAAATTTATATATTTTCACATATTACAATTTATAATTTTCATATTTACATATTTTGATATTACCTATCAAATTCTTCCGTTCTCGGTAATCAGAAAAATGATTCTCTTGTATAGGTGTCATAGATTTCCATTGTAATTTCATCGCAAAATATTCATCAGTCTTTCTTTTTTTAAGTTCTAATCTTTCAATATGCGTAGAATTCCATGGATAATAATTTAATAAAAATTTCCACACTTCAAAACGTAATGATGGTGTAATACCCTATAAAATTTCATAATCTCTTTGATTTGTCGCACGCACGCTCGTGCGCGTGTGTGTGTGTATGTGTATAATCAGTAATACTTCAAATAAAATTCTACATTTTGTCTCCTACTTTCTTGATCTTTTCTTTTTTAATAAAACAATCATTTATAAGAAACAAATATATATAAACTCTACGTACGTACCCCATGGAAAATAATATCTTTTACTTCTTGAGGATTTAAAATTCTTCCTTCTGAGTCCTTAAATTTGTTCCACTGTTCTTGTGACAATGGCATACCTAATGTAATCATATTTATTTATATATCGTTGTATTGACAATATAATTTGATACAAGATTATTTCTACCATACCTCTTGGACAATGTGGTCTTGGGGGTAATACATCAAATTCATGATCCCCAATCACTTCGTATTCGTCTCCAGAACTTACAGATGCTGGTAGAGCAGGAACATCATGTGTTAACAACTCTGAAGCTTCTTCTGATGATTTAACTGAATCTTTATATACTGTAATTTAAAATTTACGCAAAATCTATTAAACTAGAAATTACTCAAGTAATATTTCTTTTATAATATAAGACATTTGTGTACTTACAACAAATATCTGCCAGTTTACTAAATGCTTCCAACGTTGTTTCATATGGACGGTTATGTAAACTTTTTACAAATTTCCAAACATAATCAGAAGTATTTTCTTGAAATATATCCAATTCAGCAAATGATTTACTTAGTACTGATTGAACTTCATCTACTACAATGAATGTATCTCTATTTGTACGGGACTTTACAAAGTTAATAAATCCTTTTAAGGAGTTTAGAAAACTGTCAGCATTAGATAGCTGAAAAAAGGCAACATAGGTGGTACCATCCTTTTGCATAAATATAAGCTGTTGTCCTCCGTGATTCATACGTAAAGAGTTTAAATCTGAAAATGAAATTCTAACAGTTCTTGTACGTCCCAGAGAATCTGGTCCTTCTGATGAAGTACGAGCACGCCTGACATGAGTGTCTACCAAGGACCATTCTGAATCTTGATCTGGATTCTCTGATACTACAGAATCTTCTATAGGCTTCCATTCTATACATTTTCCAAAAGTCTGCAATTTTACAGAAAAGTATTCTATATTGTTTAAAACAATAAATTGTATTCTAAACTGAATGTAATTACTTACATATTGAACAATATTTAATGTACCTAGACTTTGAACTTCCTCTTCTTTTGTATTTGCATTTCGTAATACAACTCCCGTATGAATGCATAAATCCTAATTATAAATTGATAATACATTATATTATTTAATATACATCGTAAAATATATTATATTATTTAATACACATTGTATCAATAAATGGAAATAATTTTGTAAAAACCTATGCCGAGGTAAAACGACATGATATGATAGCATGGGCATAACCTCACTCACAAGTTATTGTTATACGAAGAATTTTATGCAAAATATATGATGACAACAATCTATAATTAATCTAGATACGAAACAAATGATATTTAGCGAATTATACTTCTTCATGGAATTTTATTCACTCTTGTTGATGTATCGTAACTATCGCATGTGACTTGAATGTTTACGTTAGTTATGAAAGTGACAGAAGGTTACGATTAAAACGTGAATATAGACAAGACTCGCAATGATTCTTACCTTTCCTTGTTCTAGAGCCTCAGACATCCTAAATGTATTTTTGTGTAAATCAGCACCCTGAACGAATAATGGCTGATTTCGTCGCATGCCTTTTGTGTCCTACAAGTTCACTTTCTTTCTTCTTCTATTTATCTTTTTTCACTCGTATAATTATGTGTTTGTAAATTTTTTACAAGGATAAGCGTCTTTCTCTAGTCTTATTTTGATCGCAATTTAACAAAAAAAGTATTTCGTCGTTGGCTCGAATGTATCTTCGGTGGCCAGAAGTCGCAAAACATTTCGTAATAGTTCAAATAATTCGTTGTAAACTATTTTCGATCGATATGAACCTTACATGACAAATGCTAAAAGATCGCAACATTCTACTTAACGTATGAATAAGCGTTCATTCGCGACCTCTACCACAAGAGTTCTTTACCACTGTTGCAATTTGCAACTGTTCATTCACTTCAGTGCTGTACCTTGTACAAGTGCAGCAAAGTTCACAGCAAATTAATATTAATAAATTGAACATGTTTAAATATAATATCTGCAACCGATCCTTTCTATAAATCAATTTTATTTTGCGATTATAAGACAAGAACGTTTATCGGTTTCATAAAAGAATTTTATGCTTGATAATAATTTCAGATTGCCTTGAAAACACTTGTAAAAACTGCTATCTTTTGCATGCTTGTGCAGTTTAATCGCATGCATCGTTTCATATGAAAAGACTATCACTGAAAGAATGACCACCAATTCAACATTTTCATCAATTAAGGTGATTATTATCTTTGTCTTATTATCTTTGACTCGGGCTAAACAGTTAATACAAAGTAACAATACTTGATATTAGAAGATAAAACGAAACCAATCTATTGACAAAAATAAATTACTTTTAACAATTTTAAGATAATTAATGTGTGAATTTCCAAATTTTACACTTGTTTGTTACGTATATTATTATTTATTACATATATTTTATTATAATTATAATATTATCTTTATGTAAAATATATAATTATATATATGTATCACTTGTATAAAATATACACTAGTGTAAGATATACTTTTTCCTTAAAAAAAAAAAAACAGAAATACGTAAATATTATCTAAACAGAAATACGTAAATATTATATATTTTATATAGAAGGAAATTAATATTATTTAGTCACTCATCCTGTTTATACTATGAACTTTATAACGTGTAATATTATTCTAATTTTATGTAAATTGACGAAATGCAATCATCCATAACTGACGCTAATAAATATGTATATTGTAATCATACATATTTTATTGTTTTTTTTTTTTTTTTTTTTTTTTAAGTGATACTCTAATAAATCAGAAAGAAAATATGTAGATTCAATTTCAATGTGATATTAGGAAATGTTGAAATCGAAATACTTCGAGATAAACATTAGTCTATATACGATGTCTATCTAAATGAAATCACTTCAAAGATGAAATCGATGCTCAACTTCTTTGTTCTAATATATCTAATTGAGGATATGATGTATTCGCCTTTCGCGATACAGACATTAAATCAAGTACAGCTGCACCGAAGATCGTAGTCTGAATAACTACGTACCACGCATGTAATCAGAACGACACAGTAGCTAGGTACATGTTTCGAATTGATTATGAAAATATATATACATATGGAATATGGTTGTTTTAATAACAAAGATACATAATATAAAATATATACATGCAAGTAGATTATTGTTTGTAACTGTAAATTAAAAGATTAATCATAATCGAAATGTACGTAATTTTGAAATTCTACTTCGAGATTCGTAAATCTCGCAATTTGAAATATTTTACTAACTCACAGCTACAATGAAATCACTAGTTTTAAATACGCAATTGTATGCGGTCGTAATTGAAGATGTGGAACGCGAAAAGCCGAGACTTTCTTCTTTAGATATCTGAACTTCCTAGAATTTGAAGTGGATGTACCTGAAAGTGCTAGTGCACTGTAAATTGCACATATTAGAAAAAAGATACTATATTGTTCTACATTGTACTTACGCGTATCCAGTTAGATACGGAACACGTGTGAGTGATTCATAATAGGATAAAACAAATTCTTTGAAAATCACAAAGAACATTATAGTATATAGTTGATTTATCGATGACTAATCTGTAAGAGCAGTGGTTAAAAATTTTGATTGAATTGAAGTGGATTGAAATTGTTATTGTTTCTATTTGACTTAAAAA